AAGGACAAGCCGAGAGCATGTGACGTGTGGCTGAACGTCAGCCACACACCGTTACGCTTATTTTCATACGAAGTTAATCCTTTCGTATATATTCTAGACATATAGCGTCTAGGATAAATGACACACATTTTCGCTCCTTGCTCTCAACCATCACCCGTTTTAACAGAAAATACAGAAAATACAGTATATAGCATAAGCACCTTCATTTGGCCATGCTCTAGTTTGGTGCGCACCCATCCCCATCTCGCACCGTGTATGGTGTGTTGAGTCGCATATCAGCACCGATGATATGACCAGCTCATCGCTCTCTGTACGCTCACTCATTTCTGCAGAATATAATAATTTGCTTGACAAGCAATCTAAGTATGTTTATTGTCGCCCGACGGCGTCGCGTCAGGGGAAGTCCCACATTTTCCGCAGGCGATGACATCCTTGCGGCGCATAGTTGTGCATCCAACAGAAATGGCGTGGCAACACCTCGGACACGCGACGAAGTCCTGGAGCGCACCTCTCGGAATACTTCTCGCTGGAGCTGTTAAACCACTTGGATTCAATGTTGATCTTCAACAAGCTGTCTCGAGACTCAATTCTCGAAGCGTTTGCGCTGCGCCTAGATGATGTTGCTTCCCAACTCAAGAACCGTAGGATTACTCTGTATGTGGACGCCCACACTCGTCAATAGGTGGCAGAGCAAGGATATTCGATTATTTACGATGCTCGTGCTATTGCGAGAGTACTACAGACAATAGTGCTCTTTCCTCTCGCACAGAAAATGCTTGCTGGCACAATCAGGCAGCCCATGAAGGTGATGGAATAGCAACAGAAGAGGAGAGTCAAATTCGAATCCGACATGCATGACTCTGACAGAGTGACACTCATACTTTCATTATGAAACCATATGTTGCTATTACTCATATCATATACGAACATTGTCTATCGCATATTTCCTACTCATGTCTATTTCTACACTCCCAGCTCCATCATTGTAGCCATACTATTCACTTGTTTATATCTATCAAAAATAAATGAATTTCTTTCGCATGAAAATCATGGCTGTTCAGATCGATTGCCATCACGCTCCTTTCGGTTATGGCTCTTTTTCGTCTTCTTCGTGTGGACGTCGGAAGGAGGGAGCTCTGTAGTACCAGAAACAGAAGGCTTACCCTTCTCGTTCTTCGGTTTCTTTGTCTTCTGGAAACGGGGGGGTTGCCGCGAGGCCTGCTCCTCCGCTTGCAGTCGCGCTTCCTCAGCAGCCCACCACCTGAGGAAGTCTTCCTCGACTTGGCGTGACCGCTCTTCCTCCTGAATCTCGACTAGCGAACGCTTGTCCTTCACAGGAGCAGTGCCTTGCTCCTGTTGGCTCAGCTGTATCGCAGTAAATGACATGGTC